ATTACAAAGTGCGACAGGTATTACAAAGTGCGACAGTTTTATTACAAAGTGCGACAGGTATTACAAAGTGCGATGATTATTACAAAGTGCGACAGAACACTGGTGGATAAGAGCAATTGTGGCCTGTTCCAGGCTCTCGGTCAGTGGGGACAAGCAAAAAAAGTGGGCGCAGGACGAGAGGGGTCTGGTAAAAAAAGGAGTGAGCATGGAAAGGAGAGCCTGTGAGCATTTTTTTTAAAAAACCTCATTCTGCCCACTTTTAGAAAGAATGTCAAAATGTCAGTATCTTCCGTGTCAAGTTACTCGCATGTGTATCACCACTTCACAGTGTGTTTTGATCTTCTTACAATTGTTTTATGTCTTCTTTGTTGACTAAAATCTCTTTAAATGTTGAAGTCCATCCCTCAAAATGCTGTAGATTTTGCAATAAAAATGTAACTTGCCAAGGAACGACAGTTCCTAGATTTTCGCTTTTTAACACAATTCGAATTAAGGAACTGCTGACTTATAGTGGGGACGAGTATTTTCTGTTGGCCGATGTTGTGGATTCCTTTGGGTACAAGCTTGTGCATAACGAAAAGCTTTCTGCTGTTAGCTGTCTGACTTGTGCGAGGACTTTGGCCAGAATTTACAGTACTTTCAAGAAAGTTACTGCACGAGCAAATGACAGCATTGTGGACACTGCTAGAGCAAAGCAAATTTCACGCAACTCCCCAACTGGAATTTCACCGGCAGCAAAAAGAACTCGAGAACATTTGTCTACCAGTGCAGCGGCTTTGAGAAGTCCTTGACGTTCACTAGCTTTAAGTGATGTCAACAGGGAAAATCAAAATCCTCTAGCTGGAGTTTGTGATCTGGATTGTGGCATTATTTTGACAATGGATCTTGGCTCTGACGTTTCAGAACCACCGATAATGAAGGTGACTAGTTAAACATCATTACAGCCATTTATAAGTAGGCGCGACTATCTCTAAAATTGCAGCTATGTTGTTATCAACTGAGGACACTTCAAAGATTCTTTGTTCCAATAATCATGTGTATAAGTTCGCTTTCACCTATCAAGAAGTCAACTCAAGCAACAAAGTGTAATAGAGTTTATTATACAGCAGTTGAGTTGTGCCCATTCTGTGTGAATTTAATACCAGCCCAAAAAGTTTGATGGCACTGCAGCCCCGTGTGTAACACTCCTTTGGCTTCAGCGCAACATATATTATAATGCTACATTGCTGTATAGCTGGTGGATGTTCTAACATTGGCAAAGATGGAGTAAGCCTTCACAAATGCCCTGAAGATCCCCACTATGCTAAGCTATGGACAAATGCCATGAAGAACACTCGTTCTGATGTTTTCAACCTGATGACTGCCGACTTTGTAGCACTCACTTCACTAAGTATTTCTTTGAAGAACAGACGGTGACAGCAAAATCTCTGGGCTTAACCCATTGACGCCTGTGCTGCCGATAACCGCCCATGCGGAAAACCCCTTCATTTCCCTATGCCGCCTGTAACCGCCCGAATAAAAGCACGTGGGGTCTAGGTTCTCTTCCCACTCTCCCTTAGGGCATATTGTTATTTTGTTGTCATAGAGATAAATAGGGGTAATTAGCCAATCATTTGCCGTCTTTTGGGCATTTTTTGACAGCTGATGAGGCGCCCCACAAGGTGGGGATTTCTGAAAAAATTTTCACACGTGCGATCGAATCTGTGTGAGACAATGGCTGAGAATGCTGAGAGAGAACCTGATCTTGTGGCTGTATTTGATGACTCAGGGGATGAAGGAAGCTTTGATGGGTTTGAGGGTAGACGTAGAGATCATGATAGTGATAGTGCTGTAGATCTTGTAGGTTTAGAGGACGATGATGGCGGCCCAGCACCTGGAGGTACCAATGACGAGGAAGAAGAAGCTCGATGGACTGACTATCTCAGCGACTTCCCCATCCTGGACTTCACAGCAGCATCTGGCCTTAATTTTAACTTACCTGATATTCCTAATCCTTTCGATTACTTTTTAGAGTTTGTAGGTGATGATTTATGGAATTTTATTGTCGTAAAAACCAACCGCTATGTTCACCAGAAACTTTCAAATTCACCCGAGCGCTTCGCTAATTTCATTCCAGTTACATGTGCGGAGATCAAAGCATTCATAGGAATAAACATAATTATGGGTATCAGTAGGCTCCCTCAGCTATCATTACATTGGTCATCTGATGACTATTTCGGAAAGCAGGGCATTAAGAAGGTTATGACTAAAAATAGATTTGAGGAAATTACTTATTTACATTTCAATGATTCTAGTGTAGAGCCTGCTTGGGGAACACCAGGTTTTGATCACCTTTACAAGATTAGGCCAATATTTAACTATTTTAGGTAACTGCCAAACTAAGTTTAAACCCACTAAGAATCTTTCTGTAGATGAGGGTATGATTGGTTTTAGGGAGAGGTTATCCTTTAGACAATACATGCCTGCTAAACCTACTAAGTATGGAATTAAAGTTTGGATGGCGGCCGATTCTAATAATGGCTACGTTTTGAATTTTGATGTATACTTAGGTAAGGAAGTTGACGGCTGTTGGCATATTTATGGTTAGGTTATGATGTAGTGACTAAGTTAATTAGACCTTTTATGAATAGGAACCATCATCTATTTTTCGATAACTTTTTCACATCAACTAAGCTATTAGAGCATTTAGAAGCTAGTGATACTTATGCCTGCGGGACTTTAAGATGTAATCGTAAAGACTTGCCACCATGTGTGAAAGATAAATTGCGGGTTGGGGAGAAGGTAGTTCATCAGAAAGGCCACGTTTTCACGAAGTGGCATGACAAACGGGATGTTAGTGTTATGGCAACTAATGTAAGTCCTCTAGCCGATGATGTGGAAGTTAATCGGGGTGATAGGGAAGTCCCAAAACCAGTTGTTATAGCTCTTTGTAAGGAAGTTTGCTTCACGGATTATCACATGTTGTAAATTAACTTTTCGCTTGCAGGCTATCCTTCAGCTCCTGAGTCCTCATCAGCCAAATGGCGGTATATCCTGGAAGAAACTCGAATATACAAGATTAGGACTTACAGTAATGATTAGTATTATTGGTTTTAGCTGTGTTTTTGTATTTTGGGAATTATTTGCACATTCGGGTTTGCTGTGTTGGGTTGTTTACATTAGTTGGGCGGGCAAGAAAATTAGGATTTTACGATTCTCGTTTTCAGGTTTTATTTTTAGAGATTATTTGGCTTCTATTTGGCTTCATTTTATTTGGTATTTGGCTGCTAATTTACCACAAGAAAAATCCTATAAATCTTGTGAATTTGGTTTGTTTTTGTCGTCGTTGCCGTTACACAGTTCACTTATCTTTCGCTGTGTAAATCACTTGCGGCGTTTAATTGCCATGCAACACACAAATCATTCAACGTTCTCTTTTCAAAGTGGTTTTTACTTTATGTTTGGCTTTTATTACCCGATATTTCTTGGCAGATTAGCTTCTAATTTACCTCATTGGAGATGCTATCAATTTCTTGATGTTTGGTTTAGTTTGGCTTGACTAATTGCCGATTTTACACATTTCACTTTTCTTTGCTATGGTAAACAATTTCGGCATTTTGTCACATGGTGAAAAAAAATTTCTTGCTTTCAGATCGGTTTGGGACTTTAATTTGAGCTCTTCTGGCTGTTTTTTTTTACAGTTTGGCCGATGATTTATCTGACTTGAAATGAACATTGTCTTGAAACCTGATCTTGTGTGTGTGGTTACTGCACATATGGTTTATTTTTAGCACTCGCGCTCGCTCTGAAATGTTAAAAAATCGCCAGGGAATTGGGGGTGGGTCGCGGGCAATTTTAGTCAGGCATCAATGGGTTAAAGAAAAATATTTTGAAACCCTATGTTCCAACAATTTTTCAAAATGGTCCTCCACAGAAAAAGAAGCTAAAATGACATCTCTCAAGACGCTGTTGCCAGACCATCAAAACACGCGCAGAAGCCACCACGAGGAACTTATAGGAAATGAGAAGCTGCTAGGGTATGTTTAGGATGAAATTAAAACTTGTCTTAATAAATTGCAAGTGAGGGAAACTCGTTAAGAAAATTAGGATAATACTTACTTGTGTTCTGCTATTTTAAGATCCTCGTGGAACATGAGAGGAAGGAATTGCAGTCAACTTCCGGTAAAAATAACCAGGCGTTAACAATAAATGCAGAGGAAACATTGCCTGCAGTTGTAGAGGTTACTACCCAAACCCGGAATACAGGGAAAAACGTTTCTCTACAATTTCAAGGCAGCCACATGCTAAAGACAAGTTTGGTTTCTCTACTGATGCACGATAGAAATACGAAACTACCATGATAATTTTCCTTGTATGTCATAAACACGGGTCATCCAGTCAGATGAAAACAACTCTGTGCTGAAATATCTCTGCAGGTTGTCAAACGTCCATCACCCAAAAGAGTCAAGAAACTCAATGTATCCTTCTCAAGGAATTTTTCACAACTTCAACCCCAGTCCAGAGTGACAAGGAGTTGTCAGACAATGAAGAGGAAATGGAGTAAGATGATGACCATTCATACGTTCCTGACCCCAAAGAGATTGATGCAGATGATGATGATGATGATGACGATGATACTAGTTTTGACAACTTTGATGATTGTTTATACGAGCAAGTTAAGCGAACCATCTGTCACAACCCCTATACACTATGCAGTCATTGTACTGTGATCTACTGTAGCAACAAACTATAAATATTTCAAAACAACAAGCCCACTAATAATTCAGTCTATTAATTCACAGGGAATCTCCCCAAAATGCACCTTCCACCAACAAAACCTGTTCCTAGTGGCAGAGTCTTCACTTCTTGGACTCTTTTGGTTTTGCCCAGTTTGCCGGTTGGAACGTAAAAGGATGGTTGAATCAAGAATTGGTACGAAAATAACAGTGAAAAAGGAATGTTATTCCAGCACATTCACTATAAGCTGGGATTCGCAGCCCTCGGTTAGAGACATTCCTGTTGGAAACATCATGCTGTCCTCTTCTATCCTCTTAGGTGATGGAAGCCCAACAAAGGTGCTGAAGATATTGAAACATGAATGGGCCAAAGATATGTTATTCGACGTCTATGAATCACCAAAAGAAGTATCTACATACTGCTGTGCAGAGGACATACCAACAGCAACAGCAACAATCTACTCTGCTGAACAACATCAAAGCTGAAGGGAGGGAATTAATAGCCAGAAGCTGTTAAAGTGTTCAAAACTAAAGTTTAAGAAGATTTGACAGTTTGAGTTTAAACTTGAGAGTTATGTCCTTGTTGGCAAGAGTTAACTGATGGCACCCTTTGGTATTTACCCTTAGATCTCTAAGATGGCTTTCTTCCAGCAATGGCAGAGAGAACTCCATCGGGAGATCCAAGAAGTCATCGACATGCTCGATAAGAATATTCTGGCAGAGGTTATGAGGCATGGCAGGCACAACCCATTCGTGTTCGTTGTATTCCAGCAGCATGTGGGTTTGCGCATAGATAGGATTATGAATTTTTTCACGCCTCACAACTATCGCCGTTGCCTTCAGTCACTCATCGACGCATGTCTACCACCACTACCACCATCATCCTCATCCTTGTCCTCATCCTCATCCACACGCCCCTCTCCATCATCCTCATCTCGACCATCATCCCCATCTTTGCCACCATCGTCTAGCCCAGCACCATCCCCATCTCCACCATCATCACCCCACTCACCAATCCACCGTGTACTACATACCTCCAGCGTCCCCATCTCCACCATCATCGCCTAGCTTGCCATCACTTTCAGACCAATCCACAGTGTACTACATCCCTCCCCAAAACATCCACGACTCTCATCTTCATCCTCATTTGACACTGTTTTCCACTAGATTTACATCATACGCCCATACATTCTCTTTGTAAATAAATTTTGTAAATAGATGTTCATATTAGTGTATGTAAGAAAAACAGCAGAAAAACAAAAATACATAGACCCAAAAAATCACATCATTGTAAATAGTTTCATTTCAACACAGTTGAATTTTTGTAAATACTTTTGTAAATAGAATTGTCAAATAGAAGATATTAACTTAAGACTTATTTATTGTAAATGTTACTGTACAAAAAAGTTGTATATATTTTAATCTGTAAAAACAACCACGTAAATACGTCATTGTTGCTTTAGACTTAGGCTCAGTGCTTCATGTCTCCCGTCAGAAATCAAACACGAGTTGGAGTAGCCAATCTCTGAGGAGTGCCCCACATGAACATCTAGTGTCTTTACTGTCTAAGTTTTTAATTATTTTTGGGGTACACGATGGGGTTGATGTGCAACTTGCGGACAGGAAGCCCGTTAGGCTTTCTGGGCAGTTTGTAAGCCCTGGTCTGTCTAATCGCCTCTCACACCCAAGCCAACTCCACCTCCTTGTGGTGCACCCTGGATAGCCTGGCCTTGCAGCTAAGGTTAGCAGACGGAGCTCTGGCTGAAAGCTGGAGGGGCTAATCACCCCTTCAGTGGTTTTTCGTTGACTACGGAAACGTTTGTTAGATAGGCCATCTACCTTGAAAACAGAAAAAAGTCAAATTTTGTGGCCATCTTTGATTTTTTTCAAAGGGGGTGCTATGGAACTATCCCATAATATGCAATAATTGTGTCATTCACTCGTCATCTTGTAGCCTCGAGTAGTGTCTATCATTGCTGCAAGTTTCAATTAGGGAGAATAAAACAAGATGTTTTTATGAATTTTAAGTGCATGCATAAGGAAGATACAGTTGGAATATGTCCCACAAGGATACGGAAGTTTCCTTCTTTAAGGGATGTTGGCAGAATTATGTGTGGCAAGTGAAAGATACCTGAAGCAAAAACTTAGGGTTAGATCAATTTTTGGATGCCCGCAACCTGCTACTGCGGTTGTGGGCTACAAAACCAAATGAAGTAAGATATATTTATGTCCCACAAGGATATGAAAGTTGCCTTCTTTAAGAGATGTTGGTAGTATTACATGTAGCAAGCAACTGTGCAGGTGAAAGTCTTGCCAATTTTTGGAAACCTGCAACCGGCGCACTGTTCTTGTGCCATCTTGCAGGTTTGATTTCTCCAAGAATACTTAACCAACACCAAAGATATTTAGCCTGCCTTTTGTCTAACAACATGGCTATTGAATAGTACCTTTTGCATTCTGGTAATTGTTAAATTACTTACGATATCTGCCTTCATACTTAAAAAAAAAACTGATCTTGTGCCATCTTGCAGGTTTGATTTCTCCAAGAATATCTTACCAACATCAAAGACATTTAACATGCCTTTTTTCTGACATGGCTATCGAATGGTACCTTTTGCATTCTTGTAATTGTTAGTTTACCTGAGATGTTTCCCTTCAAACTTCAAAAAAAATTGTTTTCTGTCAACTTGCAGGTTTGATTTCTCCAAGAGCATTTGACCAACATCAACGATGTTTAGCGTGCCTTTTGTCTAACAAAAGGGCTACCAAATGATACCTTTCTCATTCTTTTAACTATTAAGTTACCCGAGATACTTGCCCTCAAACTTCACAAAAAATTGTTTTGTGTCAACTTGCAGGTTTGATTTCTCAGGGAGTATTTGACCAACATCAACAATCTTTAGGGTGCCTTTTGTCTAACAAAAGGACTACCGAATGATACTTTACTCGTTCTTGTAACTATTAAATTACGTCAGATATTTGCCTTCAAACTTCAAAAAAAATTTCAAAGTTTGAAAAAAACTGTTTTTGATTTCAGATGTAGACTTGTGAAATGTAGAAAGTAAACGGGCTACATTGCCCATGTTGTCTGGACCTCATTGGTGAAAACCGCACAGAAAACGGCCCACTGGGAAATTTTTTATGAATTTTTTTGTAGTGACCAGTTGTAAAGGAAAGTTCAGTGCATACTACATGATGTCCCTTTTCTCAAGACCTTCGAAACGTGAGTACACGCTTTTTGAGCTTTTTTTTTGAGCTTTTTGAGCTTTTGTTATTTTTGCTGTTTGGCACCCTTAGAACACTGGGCAGAAGCAATCCAACTATCGGAAGAGGTGTCTAAGGTGCTCGGGCACCTTTCTTGAACATTTTCTTCCCATAAAAAAACGGTTGCGTCTGCGCAGGCTTTGGTCAAAGTTTAAGGGTGCTACCTTGACCAATATGTTGTTGAAGGACCTCATTATTAGAACTGGAGGACCTTTTATTGATGTTTTGATGTTATATCGTGCTTGTTCATGTTGTAAGGAACCGTTTGGTGTTGATTTTGTGGAAATCGGTTCCTTTGTTGATTAGTTATGACGTCATTTGTGTCAAAATTTTACACCCTAATAACTTTACGAGGTTTTAACCATTTGGCCAGCAAATTGTAGCGTCGGATAGGCCTTGACATAGGCTACGTGCATGCCAGATTTCATAGCAAATGATAAAATCCTCA